AAAGAGACTCGTGACCATGGCAAGGAGGCATTGGAGGGATGGAGGGAGAGAAGGTATTGACCACAAATTTGTGAACTTGTTACCCTTAAGATTTGCACATAAACCAGATGTGTAGTGTAAAAAAATGTTGCAAGTAAATCCCCTTAACTGATAATGAATCTTTCATCAAGATAGATAGGTGTTCTTTAAAAGTTGATACAAAGTATACACCAATGCATATTAGTGACATGGTTATTGAGATGTACTGGATAATATTAAGGAAGAAAAATAAGTTAAAAATTATCTACTATATTTCTAGTCTTGTGAAGAGTTCTCCACGTTTGTTCGATGAAACTAAAGACGATGTACGATTTCGGCTCAACTCAATCTTAAAGAACTCGAAACGTAGGTTTGGGAGAAACCAAAGTGGAAAAATTATGATATGTACAAGAAACGAGGGTAGAGGGCAAATGACACTTTATGCACATTACATACTTCTTTCTGGTTTTTTTTTTAAAAAAAAAAAAGAAAAAAAAAAAGGTTACTTTAGGTTTACACTTTTATTTTAATGCATCTTCTGATTTTCTTCACTTTTAATTTGCGTTTGTTAAATTTAATTTTAATCACACATTTTGTCATATTTACAGCCGTTGTTCACTAATATATCACTCATATCTATCCATTTAAAAATTATTTCATTGTCAGATTTATAATAAACTTTATATGGTAACGTTTAATTATAAATCCGGCAATTATTTTTGCTGCCCATAGTCTCTATCATAAATAATTATGTGCATGCACGCTTTTAATTATTATGTGCACTCAACAAACTTACGTACAAAGGTGAAACTGACAGGAAATCATAAAGAATAAGAAGAATAAAATATTCTCTTAATTAAAAATAATATTTTACTTTCTCCAACCTCTCCTTTGTATTTTAGGTGTTGAAAAGTCGGGTCTCGATAATGACATATGAAGACGACTTCGGAGTTAAGATAATGTTATTTTTGTTTCATGGTTCCTTTATTAAAAATTTGATATCCCACTATATCGGATATTTAGCAAATAAAAAGACATTAGCTCACTACATTTGATAGTTTTAGCAAATAGAAAGATGATAATAAATTACGCTATATGTAATATTATATTTAAAAAGTCGTCTTGTTATTTGCTAACTTTATTCTATGTAGTTACGTATTTAAATTTTAGTCGGAGAATGATTAAGGGGACATTGAAATAGAGACAATAAATATCAATTCATTCAGTATAAAGCACTAGTATGGTAGTTAAAGGTATCTAGTCACAAATACAGATGAACTATGATCAAATTTACAATAGATAGGGGAATAAATATACGCAAAAAGTTGTTCCGACTGAATCTCAATATGTTGATGCGAAAGTTATGCTACATTTCCGTGCTCGTATAGTTAATTGCATGAATCTTTTGTGAGACCTACTATTTACAGAGATTGAATATTTATCAAGATAATATCACACTACTTTTATAGAATATAGATTTTATAAGGAAATCTTGAGAATTTTGTTGAAATTTACTCATCTCTTTTGAGATTTTTGAAATATCCTCTATTCTTCTATTTGAGTAAATGATGTGCTACTTAGATGGAGATGCTTAGTGCATGGATTTTTAGGACTTCTTAATAAAAAAAAAAAAAAAGAAAAAAAAAAAGGTTACTTTAGGTTTACACTTTTATTTTAATGCATCTTCTGATTTTCTTCACTTTTAATTTGCGTTTGTTAAATTTAATTTTAATCACACATTTTGTCATATTTACAGCCGTTGTTCACTAATATATCACTCATATCTATCCATTTAAAAATTATTTCATTGTCAGATTTATAATAAACTTTATATGGTAACGTTTAATTATAAATCCGGCAATTATTTTTGCTGCCCATAGTCTCTATCATAAATAATTATGTGCATGCACGCTTTTAATTATTATGTGCACTCAACAAACTTACGTACAAAGGTGAAACTGACAGGAAATCATAAAGAATAAGAAGAATAAAATATTCTCTTAATTAAAAATAATATTTTACTTTCTCCAACCTCTCCTTTGTATTTTAGGTGTTGAAAAGTCGGGTCTCGATAATGACATATGAAGACGACTTCGGAGTTAAGATAATGTTATTTTTGTTTCATGGTTCCTTTATTAAAAATTTGATATCCCACTATATCGGATATTTAGCAAATAAAAAGACATTAGCTCACTACATTTGATAGTTTTAGCAAATAGAAAGATGATAATAAATTACGCTATATGTAATATTATATTTAAAAAGTCGTCTTGTTATTTGCTAACTTTATTCTATGTAGTTACGTATTTAAATTTTAGTCGGAGAATGATTAAGGGGACATTGAAATAGAGACAATAAATATCAATTCATTCAGTATAAAGCACTAGTATGGTAGTTAAAGGTATCTAGTCACAAATACAGATGAACTATGATCAAATTTACAATAGATAGGGGAATAAATATACGCAAAAAGTTGTTCCGACTGAATCTCAATATGTTGATGCGAAAGTTATGCTACATTTCCGTGCTCGTATAGTTAATTGCATGAATCTTTTGTGAGACCTACTATTTACAGAGATTGAATATTTATCAAGATAATATCACACTACTTTTATAGAATATAGATTTTATAAGGAAATCTTGAGAATTTTGTTGAAATTTACTCATCTCTTTTGAGATTTTTGAAATATCCTCTATTCTTCTATTTGAGTAAATGATGTGCTACTTAGATGGAGATGCTTAGTGCATGGATTTTTAGGACTTCTTAATAAATGCATTTCTTGAAGTATTAGATGCTTGGCTCCTGATTAGTCGGTTAGACTATGAATCGGATCTTCCTATCAAATAAATCCTGTTAAAATATGAATTATCATTCACTGAATGAATATGAGGAAATTTCTTATTAAATGATGTTGATAAAACTATAAATGACTCGTTCATCATTCATAACACACAAGTCGCGCTATTGAATGAACAAGAGAAAACTAAATTTTAAATTCACAATTATATAGCATACAAAATGTACATATTATTATTGATATACCTCTCAAGATTGTTCACATGCTTAATAGAGAAACAAGTAGAACAATAAAGGTAAGATATCTAGTCTATCAAAGTAAAAGGGTAATGAATGGGAAAATAAATTGTACTAAGAAAAGAAAAACAAGGTCAAAGCTCCCAAATAATGCATTTATCTTGTGGGGCTTTCTCCTCCATAAATATGGGGAAATGTTGACAAGCACCCATACTCCATGTGAAACACAAAAATGCTTCCCTATCAATTGTTATAACATCTTTTATGGACATCTAGTTTAACCCAAAAAAAAAAAAAAAATCCAATTTGTGATTTAAAAAGCTTTATTATGCATATTTAAACTAGCTTGTTTAAAAAGTTAAATGTTAGAAAGTGATAAACTAATTTATTTTTTTCAATTTATCCCTTTACAAACACATTAATTCATTTTCTCATCAAATGCTTAACATGTACACAATATAGAAGGGAACGAGATCGTATGAACCAACTTATCTAGAACTATAGAGAAAATTTTATTTAAACAATTTCTCCCAAACTAAAAATGACATCTTTCTTGCAATGATCAGAACGTTCTTTGTAC